ACTTTCATTAACTACTCTTACGTTTCCAAAAGTTAGATCCTTATTGATTTTTTGTTTGTTTAAATCATAGAAGCGTAAAATTGCTTTTTTAGTCAGAGAAATTCGAAGCAAGGATTCTCATCCTGAATTTCATATTGCACTCAATTCAATAATATCTCTTTAATAGCAAGGGCAACGTTTAAAGGTATGTGTCGTGCCTTGGAAAGATCAGCCTTTTTTCAGGCAGTGATGCTTTCTCATAAGCATTAACTATCCCTGCTCTTGCTTTAAATGTTCGTCTTTTTACTTATTTTCAAACGTATTTTTAAATTTTATTTTATTTATTTGCTTGTCTTTAAAAAATAAAGTATGCATGTAATTAGAGCAAACATTAAATCCTTGAAAAAAAATTAATTGTATTTAGTATTAATAAATCTATTTTTCATTAGCAGAAATGTGGTCGGTTTTGAATGCTTATTGTCTGCTTCTTGGTGATGATAAAAATCTCTACTTCTTGTACTTCACCAAATGTATAATAAAAAATCCTTTTCAAATTTTCCTAATTTTAGCTGTTTTAAAACCAAACTAATATTTCACATTAAAAAGTGGAAAAAAATTTACACCCATGTTTATGGAATTTCAGCTATAGGCAATATTTCGGAAAACAGAATTAAATTTCTTTCTTTGAAATTCAAATCTTACATTAGAGATTATATTGCAGATTGCATATGCTTAGATTATTAATAAGAATATGTGAGGGTAGGAGGATAATAATGGAATTAAAATTATGGCACTGTTTATATCTTTCCGAAACCTTTTATGTGAAAAGGCTTTGAAAGTTGAAAGATTTTACTAAAATTGGGAAATAATAACGAAGTAAAAGTTCAAAATGACGTAATAAGTGGAGTTTTTCTAACGAATAAGGACAGCATAAATGGACTGAACTAAAAAATGAGTACCTGAAAAATTTGAGGACTTTGAAATGTGACGTAATTAGTGAAATGACGTATTATGTAAATGATGTCTTAAACAGATTTCCCTGCGCCACGTTTAAATATACCTACAAAATTGTTAATCCTACAAATCCAAATTTTAATTATTATTGTATGCAAACAATATTGTGAGCATAAGGCCACTAGGAAATCCAGATCTACATGACTTAGAAAATCAAAACTCTGCGAAATATTGCTTTGGAGGCTAAAGAACTGATCTTAATCAATTCAATTATTATCTTATATTTTAATTAAACATTGAAAAAAAACACAATCTAGTGTTCCATTTACATGTCCCCTCTAAAAGTATTTAAAATAAGAAAGGTTACAATGAGCCGCCCAGACGGTATAGTGGTTAAGGGAGCCTACTGCGATACCGAAGGACTGGGTTCGAATCCCGGAAAAGGCATAGATGTTTGCAAATGTATAATGTCTTTGCGACATGGGGGCACTCTGGCGAACCGAAAATCCTCTCGAGAGATTAGTGGTAGAGGAAGAGGAGTGGGAAACCCTCGCATCCGTCCCCCCCTGGGGTGCTCTCCATCAAAATTGGTGACGGAACTGAGCGAAGTCGTATTGTCACCTGTACGGTACTCGAGGCTCTTGCTAACGACAAAATCAGTCTTGCTCTCCTTGTCACCATGAATTTCGTGGGCTTGTCGGAAGTTACTGTCAGACAATGAGATAAGTCCCAACACAACAACAACAACTGTTGTAATGGTAGCACTTACAATTTACTAACTTCACAATATAAGAACATAAATATTAGCCTTTAATTTGCAACAAATCGGGTAATAAGTAAAATTCGAAGAAAGGATAGATGCTAATAAAAAGAAAGACGAACTAAATTTTTTTCAAATCAGTATAATAAAATGAAAATCTAGAGTTTCCCTTAAAAAAAAAAAAAAAAAAAAAAAAAAAAAAAAAAAAAAACTGCGAAGGTTCTTCCAGAAAAGTCCTGAATTTATATATATATTTATCGAAAGACCTTTCAAAAATACTATTTTAAAATGAAGTAAAAAACGTTATATTGAAATACATGCACGATATATTGTATTACTGGATTAACACAGCTAATCCCTGAAATATGCGTGTTTGATCATCTCTAGTTGCGAATTGTTTACAATAAATATATCGCAGGAAAGGTTTTAAAGACTTACAGCAATTTGGGGGAGCGGGTGAGAAAATGGTACATAAACCACGAAGTGTGACAATCGTTTTAAAAGGATTCAAACATTCGGTATTTTCTGAATGCCTAAACTGCATGAAAATTTTTGTTTTCCTTGTGGTTTAGTCCTACAAAATTAATAGAAATCTGTCACAAAAGCTACAGTTTGCCCAACTGTTAGCGCACGAATACTCAGCTTCACTTTCCCACCAGTGACTGAGTGGTAATATCGCTGGACACTGATAGTTGTACACGTGTTTCGATTCCCGCTGAATGAGCTGACTGCATGGGCGTTTACGTGATTTTTCTCATGAGTAGCGAAAAAACTAAGTTACCCTTAGAAAGTCCTCCATGAAAGTATCCCTTCCCTAAGGCAGATAACCTTTGGGTACTTAACCATAAGGAAATAAACCAAACCAAATCAGCTTCACATGGCTCCACTGGTAGTGATAAAAATGTTTTTTAAACAAACCTAAAAATAAATCATATCTGCGTAAACTTAAATGTACAAACTCCTTTTATGTAATGTTTCTTTCACATCTTTCTGTTTGTGCTGCTATGAGCGGAAGTATTGCACTTGTTTAAAATGCCATGAACACTAGTAACTTCCGCCTGAATAGTTGGACAATCCAGTAAACTTATCATAGAAGTAAAGAAAGTCTTTCCTCTCCTTCGATTCTCGGTTATTTTTCATCAGATTCAAGGCAGCAATGCAAAATTTAAATAACCCAATAACATGCACGCGAAGTGCTACCCAGTTATGTTGAATTGCTAAAGCAGAGACAGGATATCTCGTCATTGCCTCTCAGAAAATGTTAATTTGCTTAATATATGCTGTAGTTTCTGTAATATAACTGTGTTTCCACGATCATTTATAAATCTGAATGAAATAACGGTATGCCGTAAAAATTTTATGATGGCTGGTGAGTCCTTAATGTTCAAGCTAAACTTCTATGAAGCCTTCGCATCTATTGCATTTACCCGACTAAAATAATCATCATTATCTTATTTCGTTATCAGTGCACTAATCTTTAATCCTGTGACAATTTTTCTGCTCATTAGCTTGTAGGGACATTAGGTATTTTTTTTGGAAGCAGACAGGATGAAAAATTAGCAAACACCTTCGCCGGGAATCGAACCACGGACCTCTGGAATACCGGCCCAGCGTGCAGAACCACTACATCACGAAGGCAAGCTAGGAAGGCGGGAAAAATACCTTATAATCTATCCGTCTTTGATTTCTAATGCTAGTAATGCTTATAACCGCTATATAGCTTTGTATGCTATATAATAGTCTCGATGCAGATACTCACAGACAGACATTCATCTTACTAAACAGGCGACTTAAGTTTATGATAGTGACGAATGCAGTTCACTTCTGTACACGTATTTTCTCTTCCTGAGGATTTATCCTTTTAACTTTTTTTCTTTTTAACTTATTATTATAAGAAAGCATATAGTACACAAAATACTGCTAATTTACTCTTTGTGTTACCGGACTACATGTTCTGTTACAAGAAAATAAGCTGACATTATGTGCAACAGTAATGTTATAGTTTTCTCTGGGAACATGAAATGTATGAAAGACTGGAAGACTGGAAGTGAATTATCACTGCCTTGTAAGTATCACAGAGATAGGTAAGAAGGTGACCCTTTGTTTAACTTTAAAAAAAAATTAGCAGAAGCCATCACTTCTCCTTACAACTATAGCTAACAGTTATGACTTAAAGGAAAAATAATGAATTAACTTAGCTTAGTAATAGTAAGTTAGCATAATGGCTACACAATTAACGTAACGCTAAAGTTGGCTCAAGAAAATAACCTAAAGGTCGGCGTCACAAGCTTAATGGTGAGAATAACGCAGATTCGCAAAACAGTAGTATTCCAGTCGCAGGAGAATCGAAATTATGTGTGGCCTTTAACGGGCAGAACACGCTCTGTGTCTACCCTCTAAAAAGTTCCTTTAAATATTATCTTCTTTCTACCTGATTTGAATATCACGCGAACTAGAAAATTACATTCTGGCAGAAAAATGGAAATAAAGACGATAGGAAAGTTTATTATCCTAAACTAACTGGAAAAAACTAAGCGAAACCTTACATTTTCCCTTGTCAGAATTTAAGTATGCGCAATAGAGATCTTTAACGACCTCGTTAAAAAGTTAAGTTCTAAATATTTCAGATCCAAATTGCGCGTTACGTTAATTATACAGCCGTTAGGATAACTTACTATTACGTATTTAAGTCAATCCATTATCTTGAGTTAAGCCATAATCGCCCTGGCTATAATCGTAAGCACGAGTCGTGCCTTCTGTTAACTTTGAGTTAAATAAAGGGTCCTTTATACGCTTTTTCTGTCTCTATGATACTTACAAGACATACTGTTAGTTCACTCCAAGGCTTTCCAAGTTTCGTACATTTTATGTTCTCAATGAAACGAAAGGTTATAATGTAAAAAATAAATTTGTTTGAATAGCATTTCGTTAAATAAATCAGATGTAACAATTATTCAGTTTAATATACCAAAACTCAAATAATAAAAATTAGTTTACAGTTTCCCTAGCATAATACTATATTTTAACACATAAAACTCGTTCTTAAGATCAGAAGCACTCCGAACTATTAAACGATATAAAACTACCACATTAACGAATAGAAGAAAGCTGGTTTAAATGAATATTTTGAAAGATTTTGCTTAATCTGATTCATTCATTTATTCATTCATAATTTCATATTATAAAGTACTGCCTTTCGTGCCATCAGATGAAATTTACTCGGTAAGAAGGTTTTATTAAAGCAAATAAATGCATAAAATGACTACAAATATCATTAGCTCCTGAAAATTGTTTTCTTTCCATCTAGACAAATTTGACAATGATGATGCGAGGCTTCGGAGGCTGTTGAAAGTTTCAAGAAGATTGCTCTACACTTCGGATGAACACTACACTCATACTAGCGGCCCACATTACGAATACATGATTCTTGGTTGTGTCATTGTTGGCATTCTCGCTTTAATTCGATGCTGCATTAAATACGGATGTGAGGACACAGAAGACGACTTATCAGATGCAACTATTCATCCTCCACCGATAACTCATCTACCAAGTCCTCCCAGATCTGTATCCAATGCATCAGTGCTTGCACCTCCGGCAACAAGTAGAGGCATAATTCTTCACCCAGACAGCAATGTTTCCATTAATTTCCCTAATGTAATTAATGTGGAATTTGATGATTTGAGGAATATACCAAATGCTACAGTTGGAGAAAACAAAGCTGCAACAAATTTACAGGATTTGCCACCGGATTACTATACTGTTGTAAATAGCAGTACGCATTTTTCACCAGTAAAGGATACTAAAAGTCAGGAGGAAGCGAACAAAATCAAGTCTTATGAACCACCTCCAAAATACTAAACAAGTCTGCGAGTACGTAAAGTTGTTAATATATTATACCTAAAAAGTGGAGGAAAATATACAAAGATCTCAGATACTGTATGTGACGCTTGGAAATAAATTTTTAGAATATCATGGTTAAAACGCAACATGAAATTTTTCTTTATACGGACGAAACTGCAAATAACAGAGGAAGAAACAATTATTGCAGAAGACTAATCAACAAGAATGTGTGCTTATTAAATATACGTTCAAACCAGCGGGCCAATTTTGTGCATATCGCTGCATGTTATGTTACGGTTTGTGAATATTACGTTAGTCAGACTGTTCGCTGACGACGTAGCTTTATAAATTAGAGCAAACACATTCTTTAATTCTAAATCTCTTCTATTTTTGAAAGGACGTTCACTGATAAACTTGCTTAGAGTATTTTGGAGAAATATAAATTAAAATGAAATGAAGAAAAAAGAAGGAACAATAAAGGTTTTATTTTTTCCTTTTTTAAGAACTATTTTAGCACTTTTTATAGAAGTGTATCCTTTTCACACCAAATTTTTCTATGGTAATTACTGGATATTTTCATAAGTCGTAGATTTCTTTGAGTAAACTTCATTTATAGTGTCCTCAATAAATTAAAAAATACACACACGTGGTTAGACTTCATATACGCTTATTTCTGTATGCATGTTAAATCTCATAAAGCGAAATACGTCTCATACAGTGATATCATATAAATGAAAGCTTGGTTTATTAATGCTATCATATTTCGCATAATGAAACCTTAAGCAATAGTATATTAGTTAAAATAGATACCAAGTTTATATGCATGTTAAATCTCATAAAGCGAAATACGTCTCATACAGTGATATCATATAAATGAAAGCTTGGTTTATTAATGCTATCATATTTCGCATAATGAAACCTTAAGCAATAGTATATTAGTTAAAATAGATACCAAGTTTTAAAGGGTTAGATCAGAATGCTTAAAACTTCTTTTCTCCCTTATTTAGCTCAACACTGGAATAATTACGAGAAAGATTATTGGAAAGTTCTGGTGACTACCAGAAGACCTGTCATTTTGAAGATAGTTTCAAAAACCCCGATCATCTGGTTTCGAAACCACACAGACGAAGTCAACGATGATGATTACCCTGAACAAACGAATGATAAAACAATTATCCTTGTCGTTCTTTTAATCACAATTGCATTAGTTATTACGGTTAAGAGACAAACTGATTCAGAAAGAATTCCTGATGCGCGTCAAAGACCTGCACAATCAATTTCCGAAGAGTCTAACATTCTTAATGTCCTTTCAAATACTGAGCAGTCATTCGTAGAACAGGATAGAGGAATAACAAATACTCAAGAACTTGTGAATCCGTTGTTTGATCATCCACCGGATTACGCTACTGTGGTTATTAGCGATTTGAGTAATACAGGAGTTCGCTACGCAAAACCGAAGGCTGATGAGACACCACCACCAATGTATCAAGATCAATTTAAATTAACCAGAATATAAAATATTCATTCAATAACCTATGTATTATTCAAAAATTGATATGGTGATAGAAATTCTGTTTCAAAACATTCATCAACCAGATTTGAAGAGTTGCATGAATAATCAATCGCAACTAGGACTTTTATAAGTTTTCTGACTCCATTTCTTTACCATCAGTCATCAATTTAGTTCTTTTAAATCTTCTATGAAATTATTTATTTAGAATTTGCTGTATGTATATTTTAATTATTCAATAAACAAAATATGCTTTCGTGGATTTAAAAATTTGCCTCTGTGATGTTTGTAAGCATTTCTGTTTAGAAAAAACAAGTAAAGGCTTTCTATTCTCGTAGCAGAGAATACATTTTTTATTTAATGCTTATAAAAAATCTGTCATTTAATATTCTGTATTATTCTTGAATTTTGCTCTTAAGAATTCTGCCCGAATTTAAGTATACGCAATAGAGGTCTTTAACGACCCCGCTAAGAATTGAAATTCTACATACTACAGACCCAATACAGATACTGCAGATCCAATTCAGATACTTCAGATCCTTGCGCGTTAAGTTAATAGTACAGCCGTTAAATTAACTTACTATTACTTAGTTAAGTCAATTCATTTTCTTTGAGTTAAGCCATAATCGCCCTGGCTATAATCGTGAGCACGAGTCGTGCCTTCTAACTTTTATTTGAGTTAAATAAAGGGTCCTTTATACTCTTTTTCTGTCTCTGTGATACTTACGAGACATACTGTTAGTTCACTTCAAGGCTTCCCAAGTTTCGTACATTTTGTTTCCCAATGAAACGAAACATTATAATGTATAAAGTAAATTTGTTTGAAAAGCATTTCTTTAAATAAATAAGATGTAACAATTATTAAGTTTAATAAACCAAAACTCAAATAATAAAAATTAGTTTACAGTTTCCCTAGCATAATACTATATTTTAACACATAAAACTCGTTCTTAAGATCAGAAGCACTCCGAACTATTAAACGATATAAAACTACCACATTAACGAATAGAAGAAAGCTGGTTTAAATGAATATTTTGAAAGATTTTGCTTAATCTGATTCATTCATTTATTCATTCATAATTTCATATTATAAAGTACTGCCTTTCGTGCCATCAGATGAAATTTACTCGGTAAGAAGGTTTTATTAAAGCAAATAAATGCATAAAATGACTACAAATATCATTAGCTCCTGAAATTGTTTTCTTTCCATCTAGACAAATTTGACAATGATGATGCGAGGCTTCGGAGGCTGTTGAAAGTTTCAAGAAGATTGCTCTACACTTCGGATGAACACTACACTCATACTAGCGGCCCACATTACGAATACATGATTCTTGGTTGTGTCATTGTTGGCATTCTCGCTTTAATTCGATGCTGCATTAAATACGGATGTGAGGACACAGAAGACGATTTATCAGATGCAACTATTCATCCTCCACCGATAACTCATCTACCAAGTCCTCCCAGATCTGTATCCAATGCATCAGTGCTTGCACCTCCGGCAACAAGTAGAGGCATAATTCTTCACCCAGACAGCAATGTTTCCATTAATTTTCCTAATGTAATTAATGTGGAATTTGATGATTTGAGGAATATACCAAATGCTACAGTTGGAGAAAACAAAGCTGCAACAAATTTACAGGATTTGCCACCGGATTACTATACTGTTGTAAATAGCAGTACGCATTTTTCACCAGTAAAGGATACTAAATGTCAGGAGGAAGCGAACAAAATCAAGTCTTATGAACCACCTCCAAAATACTAAACAAGTCTGCGAGTACGTAAAGTTGTTAATATATTATACCTAAAAAGTGGAGGAAAATATACAAAGATCTCAGATACTGTATGTGACGCTTGGAAATAAATTTTTCGAATATCATGGTTAAAACGCAAGATGAAAATTTTCTTTCTGCGAGCGACACTGCAAATGACAGAAGAGGCAATTTTTGCAAAAAAAGACTCAACATTTATGTGTGCTTATTCAATATACAATTCAGTGACACAAACTTGTGCATATCGCTATATATTACGTTACATTTTGTGCATATTACGTTAGTCAGAGTGTTCACTGACGCATTCTTTGATGCATCAGTGTTCATATTACGTTAGTCAGACTGATCACAAACACATTCCAAATCTCTTCTATTTTCTTGATTCTAAACCTCTTCTATTTTTTAAATAACGTTCACTCATTAACCTGCTTAGAGCATTTTGCAGAAATATAAATGAAAATGAAATGATGAAAATAGAAGTAAAAGAAACAATAAAGATTTCATTTTCTCCTTTTTTAAGAACTATTTTAGCACTTTTTATAGAGGTGTGACCTTTTCACACCAAAATCTTCTAATTACTAGATATTTTCATAAGTCATGTATTTCTTTGAGCAAACTTCATTTATAGTGACCTCAATAAATTAAAAAATACACACACGTGGTTATACCTCATATACGCTTATTTCTATATGCATGTTGAATCTCATAATGCGAAATACATTCCATACATTGATATATTATGAATGAAAGTTTGGCTAATTAATGCTATCATATTTCGTATAATGAAACCTTATGTAATAGTATATTAGTTAAAATAGATACCAAGTTTTAAAGGGTTAGATCAGAATGCTTAAAACTTCTTTTCTCCCTTATTTAGCTCAACACTGGAATAATTACGAGAAAGATTATTGGAAAGTTCTGGTGACTACCAGAAGACCTGTCATTTTGAAGATAGTTTCAAAAACCCCGACATCTGGTTTCGAAACCACACAGACGAAGTCAACGATGATGATTACCCTGAACAAACGAATGATAAAACAATTATCCTTGTCGTTCTTTTAATCACAATTGCATTAGTTATTATGGTTTCCGTATTTCAATGCATCAAGAGACAAACTGATTCAGAAAGAATTCCTGATGCGCGTCAAAGACCTGCACAATCAATTTCCGTAGATTCTAACATTCTTAACATTCTTTCAAGTACTGAGCAGTCATTCGTAGAACAGAATGGAGGAATAACTAATACTCAGGAAATTGTGAATCCGTTGTTTGATCATCCACCGGATTACGCTACTGTGGTTATTAGCGATTTGATTAATACAGGAGTTCGCTACGCAAAACCGAAGGCTGATGAGACACCACCACCAATGTATCAAGATCAATTTAAATTAACCAGAATATAAAATATTCATTCAATAACCTATGTATTATTCAAAAATTGATATCGTGATAGAAATTCTGTTTCAAAACATTCATCAATCAGATTTGAAGATTTGCATGAATAATCAATCGCAGCTAGGACTTTTATAAGTTTTCTGATTCCATTTCTTTACCATCAATCATCAATTTAGTTCTTTTACATCTTCTATGAAATTATTTATTTAGAATTTGCTGTATGTGTATTTTAATTATTCAATAAACAAAATATGCTTTCGTGGATTTAAAAATTTGCCTCTGTGATGTTTGTAAGCATTTCTGTTTAGAAAAAACAAGTAAAGGCTTTCTATTCTCGTATCGGAGAAGACATTCTTTTTTTTAATGCTTATAAAAATCTGTCATTTAGTATTCTGTATTCTTCTTGAATTTTTCACTTAAGAATCCAATAGTTATTTAGCATTAGCTCTGTTTGCGCTTTTTCTGTAAGATACGCATTATAGCTGAAAAAGACAAATATGGAAAGCCAAAACAGTTTAGGTGGTATGGTACATTAGTGGTAGTTGTATGTAGCCATAAACAACAAAAAAATGTAACTTCTGAATTGTGCCTGTATCTTTGGTTAATAATTTGCCTGCTGCTCATTTATACCATAGATCTGAAGCTCTGAGTTTAGAGGATTACTTTTAGTAGCTAAGCTGCAACAATCTCGAAAGTCTGAATAACAAAGAATATAAAAGTTTGGAGGATACTATCATCATTTTCCTTTACAGCAAGGTTCTTCCGCATGGCTCTTTGAAAAACGCATACGTACTTTTGGATTATCCTTTTCAGATTTTCAATAAAGGGTATTAGGTATTTCTCCCACTTTCCTAGCGTGCCTTCGTGGTGTAGAGGTTCTGCACGCTGGGCCGTATTCCAGAGGTCCGTGGTTCGATTCCCGGCGAAGGCGTAGCTAATTTTTCAACCTCTCTGGCTTCTAAAAAAAGCCTAATGTCTCTACAGTGGCGCCCGAACTAAAAGGGTTGTGGATGATGACTCACGACACCCAGGATTTGGCGACTGAGTCCCCTAAAAAACCCAGTCGCCCTATAAAAAGGGGAGTATATAAGGTATTTCTCTCATTTTCCTAGCGGGTTTCGTGGTGTAGTGGTTCTGCACGCTGGGCCGGTATTTCAGAGGTCCGCGGTTCGATTCCTGGCGAAGGCGTAGCTAATTTTTTAATCTCTCTGTCTTCCAAAAAAATCCTAATGTCTCTACAAGGGCACACAATTGTTCACAAGAAAGGTAAAGGATTTTTCACTATAGTTTTACAAAATGTCAGAAACTTACTTTACACCGGCTGCGAAACTTTAGATCTACACCATAAAATTAGATTGAATTCCTTTTAATTTCTGCAAGTACTTGTTTATCTGCAATAAGCTTATTTTCAATTGCATATCAAATCACGGAAAATATACACATTAGAGAGACGAGAATTGGATTATGACTTAATGTGCATCCATATAAACACGAACCTATTAAATTATTTCAGAACTATTAAACTTCATCATTTATTTTAAGAAAACAAATTTTAAATAGCTTGCTCATTAAAAGAAATCACTTCAAAATTATTAAAAGATACATTCAAAATATACATTAGAATTTGCAAAATGAGAGTTTACAATAATTACTCAAAATGTGCAGTCACAGACAACTTTAGCGCTAATTCACTTGAAGAAGCCTCCAGTCGTTTTTGCAGCACACTTACTTTAATTTTCAAATTTCACATATTCAGTTATTCCGTCATATATTCCGTGACAATTGCCAACAGTTGCGAGATCTCAATATTTAAATGAAAACTTTCGCTATGAATTGCATTTATGCTCATTATAATAAGTAATCTGTTAATGCTGTTGAACTTCCACAATTAATAACCCAATAACCCAATCATATGGGTTAATTTTCTGGCTACTAAACAAGAAATATGGCTGTAAAGTGTTTTAGACTGAATGATACGTAACGAACTTTATAGGAACAAAATAGGCAAAACAGATGGATGTTACAACTATCATTTTTCAAAAATTAAAATGTTTAATTCTACTTTAATTAAACTTAGGAGATAATATAATCAATTAATCAATACTGTTTAGGAAATAAATTATTATATATATATGAACAGTAAAATTTTTAAGCCAGCATAGCTATGACTATTCTTATTTAAAATGCAAAGTGTTCAATAAACGGGCTGCAGCTTTATGCTCTTAATTATGGATCCTATTCATGTGCAACCAACTGAACCTTTTCTAAGTAAATAATTTTACAAGAGCAGTTTCAGCCAACTGTTTTAAAAATAAAAAATATAACAGTTTCTATGGCTTTCAGAGAGGCAGCATATACACTATACTTCGCAACGACATACGTTACGATCGTAAACCAGGGGTACGAGTAGCCACAGTCTAGAAGTGCCTATTTTAAAATAACAGATTATATCTTTGAAATTGTTTGCAGTTTTTCTTAAAAAGTGCGGGATAAATTATTGATTCTATTGATCAGACTACTGGTGAGTATTTTACTATAGAATCTGGAGCAGGCGTGTTATTAACAGCAATGCATACATAGCTGACGAGTTTAAATTAATTTCCATTGCCACAGAGTACTCTTACAAGTATTATAACACTGGACATAAAATTAGCGTTTAAGTAATTTATTACCTTTAGAACCTCATCTATAAAAAATGAAAGTGAAATTCATTTCCATTGCCATAAAGTACTGTTATAAGTATATTATAACACTAGACACAAATTAGTGTTTAAGTAATTTATTAGCTTTAGAGCGCCATCTATAAAAAATGGAAGTGAAATTCCTTTCCATTGCAATAAACTACTGTTACAAATATATTATAACACTAGACTTCAAAGTAGTGTTTAAGTAATTTATTAGCTTTAGACCTCCATCTATAAAAAATGTAAGTCATTTTACTGAATTCTTTACTGTGTACTCATATGCCTTGAAACTTAAGTGCAGTGTTTCCTTCCTAGTATGATTGAAGAGTTAATTCATTTTTAGGCGATATTAATAAACATTTTAACAGCATATATTATGACTGCTCCTTTTATTTTATTGATATTACCTCCCCCCCCCCAAATCGAGCATCTACCTCTTGCTTGAACTTAATGGTACATCTAAATTTCCTCTATTATTGATTCTTTGTAAATAAGATTTCAAGTAACATAAATAATAAAAATATAAAGATGAGTTCAAACAGAGGTGTAGTAATGTCAGATCACATCAATTTACCTAATCCGACATCCTCCCAAAGAATCAATCAATAAGCTCAACTTTTCTTTTCATTTTTCATTTTTTTAAAATTCTTACCGCTTTTTTTTAATATGCGTTTAGTATTTTTCTGAATCGCCAGCAATACATAATCACATTCTAAAATTTATTGACGCACCTCTTGGAGCTTTTTGACACAAAAATTTGTTCTCTCGCTGGCGACTCTCTGGTTGCCAAGACTGACTAGCTGGTTCTCATTGATTGGAACAAATTGATTAAATAGAAATTTATTTGTTAAAATTATATATATATTCTCTGAAAAAGATGGCTATTTTATTTTGTTAAATATTGATTAAATACAGACTTGTATTTCTGGTTATAAAGTTTGTCAAAATAAAATGAACATTATGGAAACAGTTTTCGTACTGAAGATTAAAGGTATTTTTGTACATATAAAGTCTAATTTTTGTGTGACTATCGCTGAGTAAAAAAGAATTCTAATAATAAAATAGGCTTAGCTAGTCATGGTTTATTAGGTAGTGAAGATATACAAGAGCTTCGCAACTATATCAATAAATTTATTTAACATGCAAGATTTAATAGAGATTTAATAGGTTTAGAAAGAAATTAATCTAACAATATCAAATATTTATTTGTAAATAATGCTTAGAAAAAATTAAAATGTGTTAAAACTGAAATGCCATTTCAGCTTTAAAAACAAAAATGGCTATTTATCTCACTTGATAGCAATACTTGAGGTCTAATACTACTGTTTTACTTCATAGAAACAAAGAAACGATTTTACTTTCTAGAAAAAAAAATTACTTTGTAGTTACTTCTTAAATGTTGTAAAAATTTGGCTGAAATGTTTTGGCAACGGACACGAGAAAACAATTTTTTCATTTTCTTATTTTTGCATGACTTTTGCACGCAGTGGACAGAACTTCCTCTATTTTAATTTGTTACTTTAAAGCAAAATGAACATTTTAACTACTTGGATTTTTTACGCTACCAGGCTCAAATTTAAACTTAGATTTTGTATTTAGGGAAGTCCAGTATCCGTAGTACTGAAACTGGTTCCCAGAAATTCTGTACTTTATTTTTATGAAAGTATATACCCAGAATGCGTGTGTGTTTAAATAAATGAGTAAAGTTCACTTCTCTGTTTAAAGCAATAAAGCTTGCATCAATCTTCTATCAACTGTGTTTATATCTATTTTTATCAATTATTGAATAATTGAAACATTCCTTGGAAGTTTTTCAATAATTTGATACCAGAGGCTTGCATGCAAAAATTTAAATTCCAATAACTTTCACAATTCATTGAAAATTATTATTTACATTTTTTTCTTTAACAGGAAACTGATATGAGAGAAGAGAAAATCCTCTTTCACTCAAAAAATAAAACTTCTGTTAAGCTGAAAAACTTTTTTTCACTTTAAAACTTTTATCGTACTTAAGAAAGTGCGCATAAGGAAGGAAATTTTGAAACTAAGGAGAAGACAGTTAAAATACATTTGAATCACAATTCCCGACTAAGTAAAACTTTATGTCTATCTGTTATGCCTTTTCCAGTTTTCTTGACAAAATTACAGTATTACTCGTATTAATGGCCAAGCATATAAGATCTCATTTAACTAGTATTGACATGATAAAAGCCACACAGGAAATGGTCTTGCTTTGTCAAACAGAGGAAACTTTTCATGCAAAAATAAATTAAAGATTTCTTTTTTCGCCATAGGAATAGTAATTTCAAGATTGCACTGAAGCAGAGTAAAACGAAACTAGAATTCCACAAAAAAAGGAAAATGCCGTTACTTTTCTCCAGGTGCCACTTGATTCATTGTTAAACAGTGGTGCACATAAACATTAGTTTCGTTCAACTCCATGTCCTACATTGCTTGCAGTATATCCCACAAGTCAAGCAAAGTAAACAGGCAGTATTGCAATATATTACAAGCATTGATTCCAATGACAAGTTCAGCAATGACAAAATCCAGTCAAATGTTAAACACATTTCTGGTATGAATTCACG